GACTGGGTCAGGGATTGGCCCCGGGTCCTAAAAAGCTGCTGTGGACTCCTGTCATAGATTTCTCTGCTGCTTAAAAAATGGTTGCTCCATCCAAGTGGGAGTAGGGGCAGTACAAACAGTGTATCTTCCCTAGTTTAAGGATGGCACTTTACTTTCCAGCGTGTGCACTATACCTGCAGAATACATCTATAGCTCAGTTGTCTAAATGGATAATTTTTTCTAGAAGAGGTGATGCTGACGAAAGCAGGATCCTCTGAATGTTCATAGTAATGTAGACAGGGTTCTTCAAGGTCAGTTTGGGCTTACATAAAATTGTGCCTTTGCCTACATATACCCCATTATAATTTATTTGGTAATTTAGGGCAAACCTCACATTTATTCAAATCATCATGGTGAGGCAGTCCTGCTCTACAAAGCCTTTTCAGACCCTCAAGTAATAAGCATAAATCTCAAAATCCTGAAGAGGTGGTGAAGCTTTTTCCTCTTGGCTGGAGGTGGGAATGGAGGACAGTTTATTAAGAATGACAGAGGGACTTCCCTGGTGGCACAGTGGTTGGGAGTCCGCCTGCCAATGCAGGGGACACGGGTTCGAGCCCTGGTCTGGGAAGATCCCACATGCCGCGGGGCAACTAAGCCCGTGTGCCACAACTACTGAGATTACGTGCCTAGAGCCTGTGCTCCGGAACAAGAGAAGCCACCGCAGTGAGAGGCCCACACACCACAGTGAAGAGTGGCCCCTGCTCGCCACAACTAGAGAAAGCCTGCACATAGCAATGAAGACCCAACGCAGCCAAAAATAAATATAAATAAATACATTAAAAAAAAAAAAGAAGAGTGACAGAAAAGTCAAGGACAAATAAGGTACAATGTAGCGACTCTTCACTACAACTTTAGAGAGGAAAAAAATATCAGAGCAAGATACACTGGTGGCATTTCCTCTTTAAGTGGTTTTCATAAAATTACTTGATTTTTATAGAGGGGATTGCCAGACTCTTTCTAGAAATATAAACTGTCACATTTTATAATGCTGTGAATAATGAAATGTCCCTTTGTGAAAAATTAAATTTGAGAAGTCACAGATCCTGTTATTTTCCAAAACCACTGAGGAAAAGTACTTTGCACTAAATACTTCTGGTATTATGTGGACTAGGGAAACACTGGCTAGTCCTGAAGCGTCTCTGTTGCTGTCTTCCTGGTGACTAGCCAGGGAATTGGACTCTCCTTGCCTCAGGCTGCCCGCTGGCTCCACGTGGAGATAACATAACTTATCTTTTGGCATGTTTTGAGATTTATAGTTTACTGAGTGCTAGGAATTCCTAAGAGGAAAGGGGCTTTTTCTATGGCATTAGCATCTTCAGTCATGTGAACAAAAAAAGAAGAGAGTGTCACTCATCATCTAGTTATACAAAGGGTTAAGTCGGAATCTACTGCAGTTGGCCCACCGACAGAACGGTGCACCCTGAGGAAAATACAGCATGGAAAAAATGTATGAGGCATTCTGTGCTTTGGATAAACAGGCCCCTAGGTAGTTAAGAAGCACATCTCAGGAAGAATTTCAGTGAGCCCAGTTTCTTGCAGAAAAGCACAAAAATCATTAATTTGAGATATCTGTTCTATGTGATTAGCAATAATCTTTTACTAAGATGTTTGCTTGACTACCAGTATTTCCTAGCAAAAAAATTCATAGGTATACTGGCTCCTACCCTGCCTCTTCAGAGCAGTTTCTCAGAGCTACTGAGAGACTGTCTTCCTGGCTGTAGTCCTCAGTAAGACCCCGAATAAAACTTAAACTCACAACTCTATGTTGTGTGTTTTTCTTTAAGTTGACCGACAGTATAGTGCTACTATCTCTTAAGTTATTTAAATCTTTAAAATGGTCCTCATTTTTAAAGAATGTTTCAAGTGCTGGCCCTTTAAAAAATATGTTTTATCAGAATGCCAAAAACAGCCATTTTATTCATAATTTAAAAAAAAAAGAAGTATCAGAAAGCTGTGCTGCATAATATCACTGACCAGGGAGCTCACATTCCAGCTGATGGTTTTAATAGTATGTAGGAAAATCCAAAGTCATTTTTTAAAAGCTTTACTTAAATATGCTTTATTATAATGAAACCTTCAGTTTAATCGAGGTGAGGGATCAGAAGCCCTGGAATGACAAACATGGTAGATTCTCTGAGTCCAGGGTGGTTTTAGAAATCCAATCAACACATTATCAAGTCATATTACCACTGGCCATGCTTGTGCTTAGGACTGATTTTCAATACTATGAAAGAAAGAATTAATAGAGAATAATATTAAATTAATAAAGAATAATATTCTAATATTAAAATATGGATCCAAAACCTCTTAACTTGCATGTGAAATTGATCATATTTTGAGGTAAATTTTTTTTTAAGTTTTTAGATGTTATAGCTAAAATGTTACCAACCAACATGAAATTCTTTTGATGTGTCTGGAAGCTGATACAGTAGAAACTAAAATTTAAAAATATGTAGTAGATAAGGTTAAATCTTTGGAGTGAAGACTATTTCAAAACAATTTTTTATAAGGAAAAATAAAAAGGCTGTTTAAGTTGATTTTCAAGTTAATATTTATTACTAATACAATTTTGATTTTCAGTATGCATCTTTCAAATACAGTCTATTGGGATTAACAAAGGTGGAAATGTTAAGCTAATAAGCAGGAGAACATAGTCTATTTTAGAAGAAAAGGTGTGGACAGTGTAGATACTTCTACTTTAAAAGGAAATCAAATGTGAAAATCTACTTTCTCTTAAAAACAAACATTTCTACAGTTCCTATCTAATTATAATAACTGAGCCTATTTGATGTATTTTTTTATCCAAAGTTTCAATTGATTAATATATATATGTATATGCTTGAGCCCTAACTGTGTAGCCCTTTCCAGTGTGGGTGATGGGGCCAAAACATGAGACATATTCAGAGATAAATGGACTAGAATTGTGCAGTTATAAAACTTAAAATACAGCACAGTATTTAAATCATCTTAATAACAGACACTTCACACACATGCAATGATATATTTAAACTCAAGATGGAAAGGAGGTGCCAAATTAGTGTACTTTTAGAGAATGCTTTTTAATCCATGGTAGAACAGAACTCTGTACCTATGTGACTGCTACTAGTAGAAAAATGTCTTACAACACATGTGGTATATATTTACAAAGCAACAGCTCTTCTCTAAAGAGACTATTATTTGGAATATAAGACAAACTGTTTTTATTTTTGTGAGAACAGTAGTTATCTAGGTATTCTCAAAAGGAATCAGATATCAGCATGGCAACCTTAGCTCAAACACTAGCTTGAGTGTAAGCAATCTAACTTTACTCCTTTTTGAGTAAACTGGAGATAAATACCCATACATTTTGTGATGATTTGACAATGGCACTTCTGCTTTTCAGAATTATGTCTGCAAAGTATGACTTCTTGAAACATTGACTTCTAATAAAAATATGAGACAGTCATTTCCTTGTGAATGAAAAATGCATAACTTTCCTGCCATGTACTGTCATTTTCATGATGTCTAGAATAAATTCAAATAGCTTAATACCATGATTATTTTGATCTAGTGCATGCAAAGAGGGAGATGGCTGTTTTACAATAATATTTAAGTTTAAAATGTCTGCTTCTCTCTATTTTGAGCCTAGTGAAAGTTTTAGTGAATAATATAATGTACATCAACTTCTGGAACTGAAGTATCTAAAATCTAAGGAGTAAAGGAAATAACTTCTAGCATCATAAAAGAAAGCAACAAAATAGGATATGATCCTGTCACACAAAATCTTTTCTGCTAAATTCTGCATATCTTAAAACATTGACATGTAGAATAACTGAATCACTATAAGAATTTTTATGTGGGGATTCCTGAAAATTCCTGACAGATTAATCAATATACCAGACATTATTTTTTTAAGATTCCATAGGAATTCTTTAGGAATCAATAATTATATCTTATAATTTGAGAGAATTAATGCTGTATCAATTTAAGATAATTTAACACTATAAATTTAGAAAGTACTCTTCTTAATAACTGAACAAATTAGTATCTGGGTGACTCCATTACCAATAGAATTTACTGTGATTTCTTCAACTTTTTATTTCTTTGTTTCCAACATAAGGGATTACTTGTATCCTGGCAATTTTAAAAAATTTTATCCTGTGAAAGAGACCATCATAGTGATAAATTCAAGAGTCAAAAAAAGTAAAAACAAAACAAAATAATCATATTTAGAAACCTAAGAAAGTTTTGAACACTCAAGATGTTTTCATTTTAAAATGTTCTCAATTCTTGTTTATGATGTAAAATACTTTGAATTTCCTTGTATTTAATACTTTGTGGGTATGGCAGTGAGGAGCAGGTGTTTGACTGATTGTCTCATGGTCATGCTAACAAGGCATGGGTCATGGAATTGTCCAAGCAACTGTTTAACTTCCTTTGAACATCCTAATGATGTCTTTCTAAAGAAGCACCACTTGTTGCATAGGCTTCTGTGGCATGCTTTCCATAACTAAATAAATGGTCATGACCTACGTTTGCATAATAACAGACACATCCTCTACCACTTCCTTAAATCCACTAATAGCTTTTTTTCTTCACATCAACCCTCACTCCACATAACACATAGCACAAAACCTGCCGCCCAACAATTCCTCTTGGACCTTTAATGATACATGTAGTGACACCAGGGACCTCATCCACTCCTAAACTTAATCTGATATTTATATGATGAGCAATAAAAATGCATACTGCATCAAGGGTCATTCTACAAATGAGAGAAACTCAGAATATCAGAGCTGTTAAGGATATAAGAGATTAAATAATCTGATATTCTCATTTGACAAATGAGAACGCCTGAACCCAGAATCTATTCCTGTCTCAGGCTATTGGCTTTAAGTAGATTAAAAATAAATCCTGTAGGGCTTCCCTGGTGGCGCAGTGGTTGAGAGTCCGCCTGCCGATGCGGGGGACGCGGATTCGTGCCCCGGTCCGGGAGGATCCCACATGCCGCGGAGCGGCCGGGCCCGTGAGCCGTGGCCGCTGAGAGGCCTGCGTACCGCAAAAAAAAAAAAAAAAAAAAAAAGTAAATCCTGTACCTAAATCTTTCTATTCCCCACATATTACGCCATTTATCTCAAAAATCCATCTGAAATGTATAATTGTCTTACTCTCAAATATTTATTTCTTTCTGAGAACATCTATATTTCAATTCCAAAAACCAAATTTTATCAGATTTTAAAATATATTTCAGAGAAATGCTTAAAATACCACCAAGGAAATCCTTTTTATGTAATTATTATTCATTGTCATATCCCCATTGAAAAATTCTCCAATGTTATATATTCTTGCTGTTACTGCTAATGACAATTAGCATACCATATTTCATTAATTCCATCCTAGACTAAGGCACATACAAGAAAATACTTAAATTTCATTTTAATTGAGAGAGTTTAGTTGCCTAGACTACTCCATATTAATGAAAAGAATGGAATTAAGATTATGAATTACGTATAAGTGCCATCAGCACAGAAAATGAATTTTTCTTCGAAGAAATTCTCTATGCATCTGCAGAGAAGGAAGTGATTCACACTCACATGTGCATATACACACACACACACACACACACACACACACAAACTCAGATAAATGACCTATGAGAACAAGCCAAGATCAAAAGTGAATCTAAATCTGTTGGAAAAGTCAAAACCACTGCAAAGAAACATTAAAAAAAAATTATAAGTGGCACATGATCAGTTCTTCTAACTTTCATGTTTGGCGTCTCCATCCCCTAGGGTGTGGGTTATAGTTGCAATTGGTTACTGAAACACAGTAATCAGACCTGGTCTCCATGGACATTATTTCAGAATCATTTCTGGAAGGCTGCCTATAATATGCATATGGTACCTGTGAATCATGTTGGGAGTTGGTGGGCATACTATTATTGGGTAGGAATGCAACATTATACTCTTGCCTTCCAAATGAGCCCATATTGGCCTTCTGGGTTTGAGGGACATAGGACAGTCTTTCATTCCAATCCTCAGACGGCCCTGGAAGCACCTTCCTCCGAGCTGCTGAGACCACATTTGCCATAATGGATTCCTGAATGTTTCTGGGTCTGAAGGCATCATCCAGTAAACCAAAAGAAGACTTGGCTGCTGCTTCCCCAGGAGTTAGTCTCTTGTTTGCTTCCTCTAGCCCATCAGTTGGTTTGCTAGAGTAGCTATAAGCAGGCTGGTATACCCAAGGAGATGTTGTAGAGATGGTGGGTGGGACTGGTCTTCCAGGAAGAGAAAGAGAGCGTCCACTCTGCTAGAAATAATGAAAATGTTAATATATCTCATTCATGTTGGTTTATGCTGATTGACTGTTATTCCAATGTATTCTCCACACCATTACTAAGCACTATAAAAATCAAATCACCACAATGCTTAGTCCTAAAGCCAAGATAGGCTGCCTCTACCCGGTGTATTATTAATGCTGGTCTGGGACTTGGCCCTCATTTAGGACCTCCTCCTTGCTCTCCTTTTCTGAACCCATAGCTCCAATTGCTACCATCTTTCTTAGTTATAACCACCATGGCATGTGCCCTGTCATCACTGGGAGCCACCCTTACTTCTGTCTGCACTCTTCATATTCATATCTATATCCACAGCCCACCCTCATTCTAATCCTGTTTTCCTGATACCAAATAAACTTAACATACTGATAACTCTGGAAACAGACCATGAGCTACTGGGCTTTGTACTTTTCCCAAGTGACTTTTAATATGTTATATTGATCCACTGATTACAGCAAAAACAAAGAAAAACTACTCAGATGTATTCAGTGTTACTGGTCTGATGGAGTAGATCGCCTTTCTCCAGCCAGATTCTTTTTATACAATAGTGAAAATCACATCAATCTTTATTTTCTGAGTGTGGTGTATTGCCCATGTCTTGAAGGAGACATTTCAGCCACGTGTTTCATTTGTGCTTTGGTTCCTTTTATGTGTATTACATTCCTTATTTCCTTGAGAGTGTGTGTCCCTGAAATATTCCCTTGTATATGCTAAATGTTCAGTTTGTCTAATATGCAGAAATATAAATTACTGAAAGCTCTTTTATTCTCTCTTTTTACCCATTCTGTATTTCCAGGGACCTTGAAGTCTGGTTATATACATTATATTCTCACACATTCCCATTCGCATGAGACCCTTAGACAAACTCTTGGCAAAAAGTATCAAAGGCACACTTAAGAGAAATGAGTCAACTTGGAAGTATCATAACATTGTGTTTCTTGAACAAAAAGCATTGCCATGCTTAAAAATGTGTTCAGATACTATAAATGGTTTCAACAGCTTTTCTTTCTTAATCAAGTTCTTAAATTTAAAATGAATAGCAACACCTGGATTTGGACAAAATGTCTCAGATTAAAATGTTTAGGTATTTCTGTTGTTGTTATTCCATTAGGCACACAAAGAAGGTGGGTGGTTCAATCTTGGTTTGCATATAAAGAATAAGGGAGTCAATATAATGAATCTTGATTCTCTCTTTTCAGTCATTAAAACTTTAGTAATAATGGGGAAATTTCCTGGCAGTCCATTGGTTAGGACTCAGCACTTTCACTGCGTGGGGCCCGGGTCCGATCCCTGGTGGGGGAACTAAGATCCCTCAAGGGATGCAGCCAAAAGAAAAAAAAAAACTTTAGGAATAATGGTTGACTTTTAGCAAAAACTTGTTTTCATTAATCTCCTTCTCTTAATCTAAATCCAGTAAGTCAGTATTTAAGGACTTGGTTTCTATTCCACATTGTTAGTGCATTGTTTTCATTCATTTATTCATTTAACAAAAATTTTATTGAATACCTAATGTTTCTAGGCACTTTCCCATGAGCAAAAGATACAAAGATGCTTCGGATAAAGTCCCTCTCCTCAGGAAGCATACAATCCAGTACAGTTTTTAGCTCTGCAATTGTGAGTTAGTCAATCAGAAGTCAATTTAGAGAAGAGACTCTTTACCTATCTTGACAGGACCAATAGCCAGTTTTGTGCACTGTGAGAAGTATTAACATTCAGCATGATAAAGAGGAATTAGCTCTTCTCTCCCACAGTATGTGTCTATGTCTCCCTTTTGTCCTTATCTCTGGAAGAAAGAGAACAACATTGGTCTATAGAGTCCCTGGGACGCTTTTCACATTCCAATGATATCTGTTTTCCATCAGATACAGCACCTGCTTTAGTCTGGTCTTTAAAACAGTAGAGACGTAAAGGATGGCAACAAAAAGACTCAGGTCTCCATAGAAATATAGGAGAGGCTCCTGAATATACATACAGGTAACTAACATCACTGGCTAATAACTGGAAAAATAAATAATTATCAGTATATTTGGAAGTATTAAGTACAATGTGAAGGCATACACCTCAGTGATAGGGCATGAAAAACACTGGATGAAAGAGAGAACTTTATTTTCTGGTCTTTGTTCTACCCACTTAGTTGGGAAATCTTCAGAAGAATGGAATCTTAACAGAAATGTAAAAGTTCAAAACACTGTTGAATGATACTCTAAAAACAAAGACATCAGGGATTGTTTTTCAGCTGAGGCAAAAAACATTAATCAGTTGAATGTGGGGAGAAAGAGTAAAACTTTGAAGTATAGTGTTGAAAGAGTAAGTCATAGTTTTCTGAAGAGAAATTTAAAATAGCATTGAAGCTTTTAAGAAAAGTCTCATGTAGAATAGACATACGCCAAATATAGCAGCAGTGCAGGTCGTAAAGGAAGAGTGCAATGACCTCAATGAACAAAATGACAATTGCTCTTCTATATACTCCTCAGACTGCCAAATGTGACTTCATGCTCCTTTAAATGCTAACAATAGAATAAAATTACAAATTGTCTTAGGTTAGAGATGCAACTGTGGTATAAATAAATAGTTCTTTAGGTACATTTTTGTTTCTGTTCATGCCAAAAGTATTTCAGGCCTCTAGTCTCTGCCTGCACCCAAACCCCTAATTCTAACGTATTTCCCCAAAGCAATTTTCACATCTTGTTCTTTGGTGCTATTTCCTTCTGTCAATCTCTGTCCCAAGGCTCATGCTGTTCTCTGCTTGGCTGGCTAAATGAAGCCATGTGATCTATCCTGAGCCAGAAATGACCAAAGGGACCTGAAAATAACAGAAGTGTTTCTTCTGTTTTGGAGTTTAGATGTCTGATGGTAGAATCCTAGCCACACATGGGTTAGATTCTGTGTTGGAGTTTCTATCTTGGGTTGTATTATTATCAAAAGAATTTAGTTTTGATATGAGAGCACTTAACTGTAACCAGTATGTTAAATTGGTTATTTTTTTGTGTATTATTATGTATGATGTGTCATCAAAATGCTTACTTCTTTTTGTCTCCTACTACTATTTAAGTTTTTTTAATGAAAGAAATTTTTTCACTGCTGCTTATGAAACTTAGCAGGTCCTGGGACATTCTGCTTCCTTTTAGGACTAGTCCTATCATTACCTTAAGTTACCCAAACCACTTGATTTCAACATAGAATATTCCAGCCACTGGAATAACAAACTCCAATCTCCTCTTAGAGTTAAATGTCCTCTCCTTCCCCAACTGCGGCCCATTTCAGGAGGATCACCTTCCTTCAGGGAAGGCACTGTGGTTGGCTTCTTCATGCTTTCTTCCTCTTCCTCTCCTAGCTTGCGAACCCTGACTTCCAGCCCCCTGGGGTTAGAATGACAGGATAGAGAAAGAAAGAGCAGAAAGAAATTTTTACTTGATTTGGTAACATCATATTCTGGCTTTTCACTCTCAGAGCCAGGGAGGCCCAGAGAAGAAAACTTTCAAGGGATATTTGAAGATTCTTATTCCTATCAGATAGCTCATCTGTAGTCCTCGGTTCATGCCAATTCATCTCAGTTCTAGGGGTTAACTTGTAACTCAATCTGCACCCCCTAGAAAGCTGTCTACCTACCGTTGTAGCTACTAGGGTCTGTTTGCACCCTTGGAGAGGCCCCAAGACGACCCCATCCAGCTCTTCCTTACTCCTGGACTGCTCTGGTCCATGGGGAATGCTCACATCATTTGCCTTTGGGAGTGCAGCAGCAGATTTCCTGGTTCTTTGCCAAAACAGTTTTTTACACCATCTCTCACCCTGTAGATATCCTGGGAGGGAGTCAGACTGACTGCAGCCCACCCACTCTGACCTCCCATCCATCTGCATGCTGACATCTCGGATCAAGTTCCCTAAGAAGCCACTTTGAAACTCTTTTCTCACAAGGCTGGAGGTGAGAGGGTAGGGCCCCCCAACTCCACCTACTCCAAACACACACTTGATCTGCAGCATTCCAGAATTCCTCCTCACAAAATCCTCTCTCCTTACCAGACTCTGACCCCCTTTAATAACCTGGACCTAAGGAGTTCAAGAATTGTGGAAGTGGTTTGCTATTCTGTGAACACACCGGGACACTCATGTCTGCTATTTTCTTTGTAAAGTCTATGTTTTAATCTGGAATCTCACTTCAGTGTGCAGCATCTCTTATATTTGAGGGCCTTGGGGGAAATTTCCACTTTAATATTCTGTTATATAACATTATCATTTTCAGTAGAGCATATAGTTCTTTCTCTTATTTTTCTTTTTAAAATGAAATATAGGTAAAAAATAGAATGAAATGTGTTCTTTTCTACTAATTAATTTCAAGAAATTTATCTAATAACTTCAAATAGTCTTAAAAGTTGAAACCTTATACCACACCCAGGCCTTGCCCTAGAGAAGGTGCCTCACTCATTTCCAGGGCATCTCAGGCAGTGCTTAAGCTCTAATCGTTGAGAACATCTTCCATATATTGAACCAAACTTTGCCTCCCATAACTTTACCCCATTGATCCTGATAACATAAAGTACATCTACTTATACTCCTCTCCAGCCATTCCTTCACATATTCCAGGCTGCTTCCGCTCTGTCGGAGCACCTTCACCACCTCATACTCTTCTTCACTTTTCCAACAAAGGGAAAATAACGTCTATGGTGTTCACTCCCTCAGGTTTTCTGCATCCTTTTTCCGCCAGTTTGTTAGATAAAACTAATGCAGATATAATGTCTTGATCTCCTTAAGTAGATGTACTTCCAGAAACACAATCACCAGAAGCAAACCCATGAAGATATCATTCAAACTGACTGAGGGGCCATGTCATCTGGCAGGTGGCATAGTTAATATTGCACGTAGAACAAGTCTCTGTGTATTTAGACCAGTGTGCCATTTAAGTGTTGAATCCATGAGAGTACATGTCACTCTTTAGCTCATCCAATAAAATGCATGCATTAAAGGCTGCAAA